GTTCTATATATTCTAATAAATATACATAGCTCTTTGGTGTCACAGCCAGCATTGCACTATGTTGAAAACATATTTGCCACCATTGCATCATACATCCTTTAAATACTGTATTTAAATCAATGGGAGTTAGGCACCTTGGCACTTTCAAAACTCCCACTACCTACCTTTTGACATTTTTTGGTCCCTAAATACTTCTGAAAACCTGTCTCTAAGGCCAGAATTTTCAAACATGACCGTTTAAGGTTAGCCTCCTCAATGCATATTTAGGCTCTTAAATGAAAATGTCTTGATTTTTCAGAGGCTCTGAGCACCTATAGATCTCCTACTGATTTCAGTAGGGTTCAGAACAGTGGCCATACTCCTCCTAAGTCAATGTCTGATCATTTAATAGTTCAGCTTTGTTTCTGTTTTAAGTGACACACCTAGAGTCTGACAGAAGGCTTCAGAAGCTTTCTCAATTTTCTTGTACTAGAATTTCCACGAAAAAGCTGGCAGTAGGTATCAATTATCCAAGTTAAAACATGTGTCTTTCTTGCTGAGCCTTCCATACTTCAATTTTTTTCTTTGAAACTGGATTCACAATTTGTTCAACCCAGTACTGCATCTTTTACTATATATTAATATTAATATCTCTGATTCCAGAATAAATTGTCCTCCGCCACAGCATTGTCCTGGAAAGAGCAGCACTTTTCAGCTCTGTCTCCTCTGTTTCTAATTGTCTTTCTTTTTAAAAAGTGAAATGTAAACCATTTTAATATTGCATGAACCTATTAAAGTCCTCACTTTGCTCAGGGTTAGCAGTTCAAGTAGTCTGAAATCAATTTGGTGGTGCTGGCGAAGTCTTTATGGAGAACACTATAGTATAGTTGATGAAACATCTCCAGATCTTTCTTGGCCCCTAATTGAGACAGAGCAAAGAGAAGGATAGAAATAGAGGAATAGTGGATTAGAGGAGAGAAAATGGGAGGAGGGAGAGAGGGATGCATGGAAGAGAAGGGTAGAATAAGGCTTTTTAAGTCAAGGATGAAGTCTCTGGTCTTGAAAGCTGTATCACAGATTCTTGTCCTGTCTATTTGTGGTATTTGACATTTTGTACTGACCATAGATGTTGTCATTGTTATGAGCCCAGCTATTTACTCAGTGACCACTGTACATGTAATTATGGCTACATAATAGTGTCCATTCAAATTTTCAAATGAGTGTTTTCAATCACTCATAAAACATACTTGCTTTTAAACCATGCATAGTATTTTAAAAGGTACACTCACTGGAGGTCCCTTCTCCGCCTGCTGGGTCCAGGAGGCAGCCTTGGGTGGGTTCGGGGGGTACTGGCTCCAGGTCCATGGTGAGAAACTGTTCCTGGCTGTCGGGAAAACCGGTTTCTCCGCTTGCTTGCTGTGAGCTATCTACAACTTCATCATCATCATCTTCCTCGTCCCCAAAACCTGCTTCTGTGTTGCCTGCATCTCCATTGAAGGAGTCAAACAACACGGCTGGGGTAGTGGTGGCTGAACCGCCTAAAATGGCATGCAGCTCATCATAGAAGCGGCATGTTTGGGGCTCTGACCCGGAGCAGCCGTTCACCTCTCTGGTTTTCTGGTAGGCTTGCCTCAGCTCCTTAAGTTTCATACGGCAATGCTTCGGGTCCCTGTTATGGCCTCTGTGCTTCATGCCCTGGGAGATTTTGACAAATGTTTTGGCATTTCAAAAACTGGAACGGAGTTCTGATAGCACGGATTCCTCTCTCCATATAGCGATCAGATCCCGTACCTCCCGTTCAGTCCATGCTGGAGCTCTTTTGCGATTCTGGGACTCCATCATGGTCACCTCTGCTGATGAGCTCTGCATGGTCACCTTTGCTGATGAGCTCTGGCCAGCGTGGCAAGCTGCAGGTGACCATGCAAACAGGAAATTGAAATTCAAAAGCTTGCAGGCCTTTTCCTGTCTACCTGGCCAGTGCATCTGAGTTGAGAGTGCTGTCCAGAGCGGTCACAATAGAGCACTCTGGGATAGGTCCCAGAGGCCAATACCGTCTAATTGCGTCCATAGTACCCCAAATTCGACCTGGCAAGGCCGATTTAAGTGCTAATCCACTTGTCAGGGGTGGAGTAAGGAAATCGATTTTAAGAGCCCTTTAAACCGAAAAAAAGGGCTTCATCATGTGGACGGGTGCAGGTTTACATCAATTTAACACTGCTAAATTTGACCTAAACTCCTAGTGTAGACCAGGGCTGAGACTTGTGTGTCCCAAAGAGCTGTTGAATTCAGTAACACAGTGTCCAATGAACCATCACATGAGTAATAGGCTTACTGTATCACTAGATTTATAATTAAAATACAGACAATACCTTAAGACTCAATGCTTTCCTTCTGACAGATATAATATATTAATAAAATATTAATGATTACTACTAATTGCTATCCTTCTGCTATTAAGAAATTTAATTTGTTGCTGTTAGTGATGATGATTTATTATTTATCCAAGGTTCAAAAATTTAACTGAGATACAAGCCTCCTTTACAAGGCAGTCCTGGTTAAGAATTAAGCCCTTATTTGGCAAAGAATTATGTACATGCTTAACTTAAAGCAGTGTAAATAGTATCTTTGAAGCCAGTGGAACTACACCCAGTATGTAAAGTTCAGCATGCACATTAATCTTTGCAATATCAGGGCCATATTTGGTTTTACTGTTCCCAATGTCTTCCCAGTGTAGAGTGGTTTTTATTGAAAAATCAACATTTACCATTACTGTACTTGCCTGGGCCAGATTTTTTTACTCATGTTGAGTAATATCTTACCCTGTGAATAGTCTTTGTTATATGATTACCATAATATTTCACTATGCTATCTTTGGACTAGGAAATCATAGAATCATAGCATATCAGGGTTGGAAGTGACCTCAGGAGGTCATCTAGTCCAACCCCCTGCTCAAAGCAGGACCAATCCCCAATTAAATCATCCCAGCCAGGGCTTTGTCAAGCCTGACCTTAAAAACTTCTAAGGAAGGAGATTCTACCACCTCCCTAGGTAACGCATTCCAGTGTTTCACCACCCTCCTAGTGAAAAAGTTTTTCCTAATATCCAACCTAAACCTCCCCCACTGCAACTTGAGACCATTACTCCTTGTCCTGTCCTCTTCTACCACTGAGAATAGTCTAGAACCATCCTCTCTGGAACCACCTCTCAGGTAGTTGAAAGCAGCTATCAAATCCCCCCTCATTCTTCTCTTCCGCAGACTAAACAATCCCAGTTCCCTCAGCCTCTCCTCATAAATCATGTGTTCCAGACCCCTAATCATTTTTGTTGCCCTTCGCTGGACTCTCTCCAATTTATCCACATCCTTCTTGTAGTGTGGGGCCCAAAACTGGACACAGTACTCCAGATGAGGCCTCACCAATGTCGAATAGAGGGGGATGATCACGTCCCTCGATCTGCTCGCTATTCCCCTACTTACACATCCCAAAATGCCATTGGCCTTCTTGGCAACAAGGGCACACTGCTGACTCATATCCAGCTTCTCGTCCACTGTCACCCCTAGGTCCTTTTCCGCAGAACTGCTGCCTAGCCATTCAGTCCTTAGTCTGTAGCTGTGCATTGGGTTCTTCCGTCCTAAGTGCAGGACCCTGCACTTATCCTTATTGAACCTCATCAGATTTCTTTTGGCCCAATCCTCCAATTTGTCTAGGTCCCTCTGTATTCTATCCCTGCCCTCCAGTGTATTTACCACTCCTCCCAGTTTAGTATCATCCGCAAATTTGCTGAGAGTGCAATCCACACCATCCTCCAGATCATTTATGAAGATATTGAACAAAACCGGCCCCAGGACCGACCCCTGGGGCACTCCACTTGACACCGGCTGCCAACTAGACATGGAGCCATTGATCACTACCCGTTGAGCCCGACAATCTAGCCAACTTTCTACCCACCTTACAGTGCATTCATCCAGCCCATACTTCCTTAACTTGCTGACAAGAATACTGTGGAGACCGTGTCAAAAGCTTTGCTAAAGTCAAGAAACAATACATCCACTGCTTTCCCTTCATCCACAGAACCAGTAATCTCATCATAGAAGGCGATTAGATTAGTCAGGCATGACCTTCCCTTGGTGAATCCATCTGACTGTTCCTGATCACTTTCCTCTCATGTAAGTGCTTCAGGATTGATTCTTTGAGGACCTGCTCCATGATTTTTCCGGGGACTGAGGTGAGGCTGACTGGCCTGTAGTTCCCAGGATCCTCCTTCTTCCCTTTTTTAAAGATTGGCACCACATTAGCCTTTTTCCAGTCATCCGGGACTTCCCCCTTCCCTCAAGATGAAAGGTGTTTCATGAAATAAGGTATTAATTTGATTTAAACATTTGTTTCATGCCAAATGTTACAAAGCTTCTTCCATTTTATTTTTTGACAGCAGCGAACTCTGATAGTTATGTTCTATGCAAAATATAGTATTCTGGTTTACCTTTCCTGGTTGGATTAAACAGCAGAATTTTCATTTGCTGTCATAGTTGTCATGGTCTTTTGCTCATGCCACATTATTAAAAAGTGTGCTTTATACACACAGACTACACCTTCATCTGCTTAGAGCAGATTAAAAAACATTATCCTTATAAAATGAATAATTACACTAGCGATTTTAATATTTTTGTTTGCTTTTAGAAATGAATTAACTACCTCCCTAAGAAACAAACTTCTTATTGGATTATTGCTGGAAAGGATGGGCCTGGACTAAAATCCTGTCTCTGAATATCTCAAAGTTTTCCATGTGCATGTGAGAGTTTTGTGGCTTGAAGCTGTCTCTAAATAGAATGTTAATAAAATGCTATACTGGGCTGTCTGGATATGTGGCCTTTTTCCTCCCCTTCCTCATCAGAGTGTGAATAAAACCACAAAGCTGGGCACAGGACAAAGGAAGCTCTTTGATATTGGTAGTGTATAGTGATGAACCAATGTCTTTATGTATATGCACCTGTCTCATTTAGCTTTGTTTTCTACTGTCTGCAGACTCCAGAGGAAGGAGCCTCCACATCCATCTATGCAGCTGTCTCACCAGAGCTGGAAGGAGTTGGTGGCATCTATCTTTACAATGAGCAAAGGACAAAATCTACTGATGTATCATATGATGAGGAGCTGCAGCGAAGGCTCTGGACTGAAAGCTGCAAGATGACTAGGATTTCTGATGTAGGTAGCAGAGATCTCTAAAAGTAGCCACTTCCAACGGGGTGAATGAAATGTGTCCAACAAGCATCCTTACCTGACTTCTTGCAGCATGAACCAGCATCCTGGAATTCACAGTTCAATCCCAAAGGCAAATGTGAACAGTGCTGCTTTTCACTTGAACCCATAGTCTGCTAGGGAGTCAAGGGGAAATATTCCCACAGAAATGTGTATAGGGTGGTTTTAAATCTAACCATCAGTTTTGTAATCATGATGTTTCGGTCTGTGATTAAAAAAGTCTTTAACCTTGTGCAGAATTGTGTTTTTCCCTTTTTATGTAACAAGAGGAGACTGTCCCTTGTGGGACTGTTATGTCTTAAAACCAGCTCTGCAAATCTTGCAAATATAACTTAATCCACTTTTTATCAGTTCTGGAAATTTAGGGTTTCTTTCCTTAAACTTCTTAAATCCTGCCTACACTTTATAATAAGTAACAGATTATTATAATTCATTCTTTTGTCCTTCATGATAATCACACTGTATCCATCACAGGAACTACAGTATAGTACAACACCCTTTACCCAGATGTTTCAGCAGAAACCAGATGCATTTAAAGAAAAGGACTTTAAGATAGGCGGGTGGGTTGGAAGGCTTAGAAAAATTGTTGAAAAACTGGAGAGGGTTCAGAGAAGAGCCACAAGAATACTTAAAGGATTAGACAATATGCCTTACAGTGATAGACTCAAGAGACACAAAGGAAATTAGGCACCTAAGCCCCAGACTGAGGAACCGAAGTCCCAGTTTTAGGCTCCTGCAATCCACAAAACTTCTCCTGAACGCTGTAGGCGCCTAAAGTGCTTAAGTAAAAGTCCCCCACACCTATGTTTCTGCATCTAAGCATGTGCCCTGCTGCCTCACCCTAGGTATCTGGGGGACTATTGCCCACCCAAGCCCCAGAGTAATCCACAAACCCAGGGAAGATAGGTGCTCTGATGGGTGTTGGTGCCACCAGTGGTGCCCATCTTCTTCCTGTTAGCCCTGTGGTTAGACCACTTGCCTGGGATGTGGGAGGCCCTGGTTCAATTCCCCCCTGCTCTGCCTGAAGGGGAGAAAGAGGTGGAAGACCTCAGTTCAAATTCTCAGTGGTGCTCTAAACATGGGGCTATGGGATATTCTGATGTGGGATGCCTTCAACCTCTCCTGTTGAAGCTGCTCCACTGTGGATAAATAATGATAGATGACTGATTAAAGCAGAGGGACTGGACCCAGGGTTTCCTACCTCCCAAGTGGGTGGACTAACCACTGAACTATAGAGTCATTCTCTCTGTCTCTCACCCAGTGATTGAGTATTTAGTGGAACAGTCAACCTCAAGATACGTGGTTTTTGGTTAACAAGAGGTTGGTAAATGCCTGGTGTATTTATGTTGCCTGTCTGATACATCCACTGAGCAGAATCTCAAAGGGATGGGTTTTTTTGTTTGTTTTGTTTTAAGAAAGTTTTATCCCTTATGGTTACAAAGAAAACCTTTCCAATGTGAACTGAGTGTTGTCTCCAGACAGCCTGAACCCTGACTCTTTTAGTGGTGTGTACTCCACCCTACTCCCACCTCATGAATCATATCTCAAAAGCAAAATTATGACACTTCAAATATCAGCAATATTTCATTACTCATTTTTTAGTGGCTGGGATGAGAAGGGGGTGGGCGTGAAGGTCACACTGGGGGATTGGGAGTTGCTGAAGGAAATGAACTACAGAAAAAAGAAAGGGGAGTCACAAGAACAAGTAAGAGAGAGAAAGGAGAATGGGAAAAGAAAACTGTCAGAGGGCAGAAATGTCTGGTCCCAAAGAGGATCATATTTTCCCTCTGGGCTGTGAGAGGTGTGATTTAGCCCTGGGTGTTTTCATTTATTATTTGCAATGGTTAGCAGCAGGCAATTTATCATCCAGTCACTGTAGCACTTTCCCTATGTCACTGGCTGATTTTTTTTGGAAGGGAATGTAGTGCTTGTGAAATGTCACAGACTGACACGTTGGGAACTAAATTCCTCTCTTTATTCACAGATCAGGCACAGGATGCAGTGGAGGGTGTTAGCTAGCCAGCATTTTATATTGCAATATTGTTCCCACAATTGTTCTCATTGTTGGCAGAAGTACTTGCTGAATTTACATATAACAGAAGGGACCATATGAATCCCCATTGTAACTCCACTGAAGCCTGATGAGTTTTCCGCATGGTGACCAGGAGACTGCAAAATATTTATCTTCAAGGGAAATTCTTTCCCCATATCAAATTTTAAAAGTTATTTTAAGATGCTTTAAAATAATAGAACTTCAGTTGGGATTGTTGTTCTCAAATAATTTCAAAGTTTGGTTTATATTGTACTTGGAATCTCTAGCTCGTGCTTCCACTTGCTCTTTCAGATGGGAGAAGGCTTCTCCAATTAGAGGAGCTCCTAGAGGGGTATGATGGGCAGAGTCCTTGCTGATTGGCAGGTACTTTGCCTGTAGTATAGGACTGTTTCTTTGTGCTTCTCTTTCTATGGCCTGCTTTAGAGGATTCCCAAATTTCATAGGCTGATGGACCTGGCAGACTTCCAGCTGCAAACAGGAAAGGTGGGGGCACGGACACAAGCTGATCTGACAATTGCCTGAATAAAGACAGGTTTCAGAGTAGCAGCCATGTTAGTCTGTATTCGCAAAAAGAAAAGGAGTACTTGTGGCACCTTAGAGACTAACCAATTTATTTGAGCATAAGCTTTCGTGAGCTACAGCATCCGATGAAGTGAGCTGTAGCTCACGAAAGCTCGTGCTCAAATAAATTGGTTAGTCTCTAAGGTGCCACAAGTCCTCCTTTTCTTTTTGCCTGAAAAAAGTCATTCTCTTTGTCTCTCACCCAGTGACTAAGTATTTGGGACTTGTCTACACTGGCAAGTTTCTGCACAGGAAAGCAGCTTTTTGCGCTCCGACTGCAGACGCACTGCCAAGCCACTTTGTGCGCAGAAACTCCTCAGTTGCAGCGCTGCAAAAAAACCCGCCTCGCCGAGAGTCGTAAGGCTCTTTGCGCAGAGGCTCCAGCGCTCTATTGCCAGTGTAGACACTTGATTGCTTTCTGCCCTGTAATTGGCCTTTGGAGCTGTCCTATAATGCCTCAAGGGACCGCTCTGTTCATTGTTTTGAACTCGGCTGCTGCGGAGACATGCGCCCCTCCCCTTTCAAAGCACCATTTCTGACAGCCCTTGCGTGCTGTGCTGATCTGCTCCGCGACACAAAACAAACCATGAATGTGGAATGCTCGCGCTGTTGAACACAGAGGGAGGGGTGTGTGTGTGAGAGAGAGAGAAAGAAAGAGAGAGAGATTGCTGTGCAGAGAGCCCAGAGAGGGAGGCGGGGGCTGGTAGGGTTTCCCCCTGCCCCTGCCTCAGGACAGGTTGCTTCATGCCACTGTCTGAACTTACAAGACAGCATGCTGACACACTCTCTGTCCCCCAAAACACACTTCCCTCTCCATACACACACACTCTCTGTCACACACTCTGCCCCCCACACACACACTTCAGTTGAAAAGCAGCTGGCAATGTAGTAGGATGCCCATGGAACAATGGGTTTGGGAAACCTGCATCATGTGACGCTGTACCTGCCCCATGAGGCACTGCAAACCCTTCCCAAAGCATCCTGCAGCCAGTTGCACAGTGGGATAGCTACCCACAGTGCACTGCTCTCTTTGCTGTTGCAAGAACTGCTAATGTGGATGCGCTCTAGCGTCCCAATGCGGTTTAATTCCAGCATTTTAATAAAAGTGGTATAACTTGTGGCGCAGAAACTTGCCAGTGTAGACATACCCGTAGTGGAACAGTCAATCTCAAGATAAGTGATTTTTGGGGAGGTGGAGCAGGAGGATTTCAGCTCTTCAGTAGCCCAGCCCCTTCCCCAGTCCAGATTTTTGCGCTTTCTCTTCCTCATGGTACTGGCAGCTTCATATTTCCCCAAACACTCCTTGCCACTTTGGGCAAGAGAATAGCTGAGGACTTTGGGAGGTGCTCTGATGCTACTTCCCCATCTTCATCAGGTGATGGCATCATTAGAGATGGGATTGCTTTCACTTGACTGGTAGCAGCAGATCTGGACATTACACTGATGCTATTTTAGACACAGGATGCAATGACTGTTTCCCCAAAAATAAAGAGCTTGGCAGCTTTTGCTATTGGCAGTAAAACCTTTCACATTTACAACATTGCCTTTGATAAAACAGTCTTCTGATTTTGTAAACCCGTAAGCTTTCAATTGAAGAGTTCAATGGTTTTCTTTCATAAAGATGGATGGTTAGTTTCCAAATAGAGCTGTGATCCCTCCTTTTATACATGCCTCAAAATCCTTTTCCAGCTCCTGTGACAACGCCTTGGAAGTATCATGGTAGCTGACACTCTGGGGTATATTTTGGTCCGGGGTGATGGAGCCATTTTTACTGTGAGGGTGCTGAGAGCCATTGAACTAAACTGTAAACCCTGGATATGATGGAAATCATTTCAAGCCAGGGGTGCTGCAGCACCCCTAGTTTCCAGCACCTATATTTTGGTGTGAGTCTCCCAGAGAGAAAAGTCAGGGTATAAGTGATGGACCCACAAGAGAGGAGAAAGGGAGGTGTCCTGCTGCCTGACTCTGGAGAGCAATGCACTATATCTCGACTTTAAGGCCAGAAGGGACCATGATCATCTACTCTGACCTCCTGCACATTCCAGGCCACAGAACCTCACCCACCCACTCCTGTAATGGACCCCTGACCTCTGGCTGAGTTACTGAAGTCCTCCAATCATGATTTTAAACCTTCCAGTTACAAAGAATCTACCATTTACTCTAATTCAAACCAGCAAGTCGCATGTGCCCCATGCTGCAGAGGAAGCCAAAAACAAACCAACCAACCAACCCTAGGATCACTGTCAATCTGGCCTGACGGGAAATTTTGTTTCTTCCTGACCCCAAATATGGTGATCAGTTAGATCCTGATGGTCCCATGAGCCAGACACCTGGGAAAGAATTCTCTATAGTAACTCAGAGGACTCCCCACCTAGTGTCCCAGCTCCAGCCATTGGAGGTATTTGCTAATAGCAGTCATGGATGGGCCATATGCCATTCTAGACAATCTCATCATACCATCCACTCCGTAAAATTACCAAGCTCAGTCTTGAAGCCAGTTAGGTTTTTTGCCCCCACTGCTCCTCTTGGAAGGCTGTTCTAGAACTTCACTTCTCTGATGGTTACAAACCTTTGTCTGATTTCACCCATAAACTTGATGATGGGCCAGTTTATATCCA